AATCTGACTAATAATTAAGTCAATGCAGAGAGCCAGTTGAACATTTTACACAAAACCATCCACATGAAAGACTGGCTTTATTTAGATTGTTTGTATCAAACAAATTGTCAACAAGTAGAGGACTGAAGCTGACTGAGGTTCCTTGAATAATAACCACACTTCCTAGTAGTTTGGCTTGGCTAACTTATTTAATTGCCTATTATCTAATTTCCCTAACCTAACCCCAGTAGATAACAAGTAGCACTTGAGAAGAAGAGTGTATAACAGATGAGAAAGAGATTCTTTACCTGAGCTCAACAGTGTTTATAAATAGGCTTTATTATATCCAGAAAATTGATCAAATTGGTCCATATGTTCAAACAATACTATTTATGCATGGAGAAATATCTGTAAGATTATACACTAAATTTACAAGTGTGGCTAGTTTAGATAATATGATAGGAGAAAGAACTTCAGTTTTAATTCTTTCTAACCCTTTGAAATGAGAATTTATTTATTAATTACTTGCATAGTTAAAATTAATTTAAAACAAGGTATAAATATACAATTGTAATTTTTTCTCAGGATGGGATAGTGCTTTTATATATATTTTGACTCTGGCAAATGACGATCTATTATCTGGTCAGAGACACACTAGCTTCAAATTTTGTACATTTGAAGTAACTGAGGGATTTCTTTCACTTGATTGTTGTTTTTTTCCCCCTTAAACGAATTGGGCAGATTTAAATATTAAAAATAAGACTTTGAAGCATCTATAATTCATATATGGCACATCATCTGTATTGCTATGGTATGGATCAGAATGTACAGTAGATAAATTTTATCACAATCTTAAAATTGGTTGAGTTGTTGCCATGGTGAATCGGGAATCTACACAACAGGCATGTGCCTTGGTTATGTTATATATTTCACTCACCTAAATTATCAGATTTATTAAGCAGATAAAGTTATGATACACAAAGCAAGTATGCTCCAGAAAAATAAGCAATAAAAAGTACTCAAACTTTATATGATGTAGATAAAACATTTTGGATGTTATAAAAGACTATGTTTATATGTGGGGTGAACAGGGTTTAGAAAGTTCTTTTAATAGACTTAGTTTCTAGAATGATCATCAGATATACACAATGGAGTTTACCAGGGGACGTATCAACTACAACTCAGAATTTTGACAGGTTGTTCTGGGCACGGCCCTCTGAATCTCTAGATTTCCAACTGTCAACCTAGAGCAACAAAATAAAATTCTCTCGGACCCATGAATCTGTGTGCTAGTAAATACAGTCCACTCCCATCATAGATAATGCCCTGGAGACTGAGAAAAGTATCTATCAATCACACAACAGTGTGGACACATAGCCTTATCTATTCAATGCCCCACTACTATATCTTACACATAAATTCTATTTCACATGACAACGTCTTTTCCAAAGCAGTTCACTCAATGGGTCATTGTTATCTGACAGTTATGTCTTCTTTTATGCTTTTAATGAGGTGACTGTTTATCAGCTATAAAAAACAATCAAGAAGAAGCAACATACTACAAAGGCATTTAAAGCTTTCTTTCTCTAAGTCTAAATGATTTTTTTCCCCTTCCAAGTGCCCACATCTTTTAAACTGATCGCAGATGCACCCTTTGCCTGATTATAAAATAGTGACTGAAAATAGTCTGTATAAGTATCAGTTTCATTGATTTTATTAGTAAGTCCTTTATCTTGGTACTACTTTATTTTTAAGCCATATTTTATTTATTTATTTAACATTTTAGGGGCATATAATCAAAATAGTATCCGGATTCTTAGTGCATTTGACCTAGACAAAAAGCTTATGATGTTGGGTTCTCTATATAAGAAGCAATATTTTCATAGGACAGTTTTTATTTTCATTGACTTCCAAAACTTAAGTCAGAAGTCTTGTAATAATGGTATGAATGTGTGAAAAAACTTCATGGCACCAATCAAAACACACTCTGATTATAGACTATGGTTATCCTGACAGGTTATTATAAAATATCATCCTGTGCTCATAAATAATACAGCCTTTTAATTCATAAAAACCAGAGAGATTCATAAGTTTCTGTCTAGTTTTCCTTTGCATCTCCCTGGAATCTTTTTAGAAAGTAAGAATTGCTATTATTATTATTTTTTTTTAAATATTAAGAAATAAATTCATTGCCTTGAACTGGCGAACAACCTCCCATGATCTGGCCCCAACCACTCTTCCCAACCCTATCTCTCCCTCACAAACCTATGATCCAGAAAAACAGCGGAGCCTGTTCTTCCTGGGACATAACCCACCCCATCCCAAGGTTTTGCCTTCAGTCATGCTGCCTGAAAGGTTCTCCTTCCTCATGCTCTTCTCTGCCAGTCTGTGCACCCGGTATTAGCTGCTCACATCTATTCAGTGCTTACTACATGCTGTGCTTTTTACTAAGAGCCTTATTTCACTTGTGCCTCCTCACAACACGATTTTACAATGTCTGAGGAAACTTTGGCTAGTCAACCAGATAGTAAATGGCAGATCCGGGATCTGTACCCAGGTAGACACCAGCTTTCACACTGTGCTACATTACTCAACACTGTGATACATAATTACCAGTAAAGTTGTAAGATCAAGAGAAAAATAATCATTCTCCTATGGATGTTTCATTGGCCATCCCCAGCTCTCTTCCCTTTACCTGCCCCTGCATCTCTCTGAGGCCAAACTCTAATGTGTCACTAACAAAGTTAGTGATGTATCTGTCCATCATGTGTCCTTTACTAGGCATTCTGAGTCATCTCAATAGTCTTTGTGTTATATAGTAAAATGCCTTGCACACGGCAATCCCTCTATAAATGTTGGTTATATGAATTCATCATTGGCAGAATGAAGAGATAATTCAGACTGTATCAGAAATGACCTCTGAAAAATAATTTAGAAAATCAATTTAGCAAGCCTATAATTTGATAAACAACGATGACAACTTGCTATTGATTCCTTCACAAATTTGCTTTTTTAACTTGAGTTCATAAAAGTGACCAACTGTTTGGGCATTCTAGTTTCAAATCCATTCAATCACATGTATTTTTTAAATTTTTTTACTGAATCAGAGAATAGAATTCAAAACTATTGTTCTAGGATCATAGGTGAATTTTGGCTACTCTAAAGAACCAGTTAACATGGAAATAATTCTTTATGATAATGACTATGTATATACAACTGTTTTATTTGCTTTTCACTAATCTGATTCAAATTTTCATTTTCTGTATATACACATATATCAACTCATCTAGGTAACAGGAAATAGTTTGGGAAGAGGGATATAAATCATTTAATTATTTTTCTTACATGATGTCAAGTAAATGTAACTATTTTTTAATTCTTAAATACAAACAGGATACTTCAATACTATTTAGAGACAACTTAAGTTTGTTCACTCAATCTCTTACATGTCAAAGGGGAAGTGATTTGAAAAGTAGTTGAGGCTTCTCCCTCTTAAGCCATCAAATGATCACATTTTTTTCCTCTTGCTTTAAATGTTGACATTGCATTTCATTTTGAAAATTGTCTGATAGAAGTTTTAGAGTATGACTATTTCTGTCAATTATAATAACTGCAACTCTCAAAATAATCACTACTACATATAAGACATAATGTCAGATTTAAGATTTGCCTTTAGACTTTCATACTTAAACTTAAAATATGCATTGATAAACTTGTATAATAAAGAAAAAGGTAATTATTCAGAGGTTGGTAGTAAGTTATTATTGAGTTTAGAACAAGGATTTTTGGAGGAATTCACCGTTAGAATTGAACACTATTTTTCTTTTAACTCCTGCAATTTAAAAACATTCACTTCACTTTGAAAAATTACAATATTAAAACAAATTTTCTAAAGCAGAACGCTTCAAGAATGCTAGAATTTTAAGAATGCTAGCATTTCCCTCAAGAAATGAATTACTTTGGAAAAACTTATTTGAACTCATAAATGATCATCTTTTTCTCAGTAAATTAAAGCACAAGTAACTAAGCCATGATTGTTAATTATGCCCATGGATTATTAGGGGCAGAATAACATCCCATAAATTATCTAAAGTAAGATGGAGCTAGAGACCCCAAAGAATAGAGCAGCTTTATACATTAAAGGAGAAGAAAAGTTCATTTTCAAAATTAGGCCCATACTAGGAATAGTGCTAAGTTACTTTATTGATTCTTGGTCGAGGGATGGGTCTCCAAGGCTCTCCTGGAGACTCACCCAAAGTAAATAAATAACAAGCAGCGCTTTGGGTCAGCCATCTGACCTAGAGAAGATGATGACATTTTCTCTGAGCCTTAGGCACTCTTTGAGCTAAGTTATTCTCCAATTAGAATGCTGTTAAATGCCACACCATTTGTTGTTGAACTTATTGCCTAGAACTTGCAAGAGAGTTGTTAGAGATGAAGTACAGAAAGCTAGCATGGGGAAATTCAGAGCCGTGTTTTGTTTTTTGTTTTCTTTTTTGGGGTGGGGGTGGGGGTGGGGGGATAAAGTGCTCCTTTTACTCACACCACATTTCTCTTGTCAGACTGATGTTGCCTTTAGTGCACTCAGACATAAATGCACAAAGCCTACCCTTGCTTGTTCCTGGCACACAACAATGATGTAACACCTTCATTTTGATTTCCCTTGTCAACGAAACAATCTGCCCTGACAGGTGTGACCCCGAATCAGCACTACTGGGCAGTCTTCTGCAGACTCAGCTGGTGACAAGCCCCCCCTCCTCAACTTTAAACAAAGGCATTTAATTTGGTCTTGAGCCCAAGGTAAGGAAGACAAAAAAAAAAAAAAAAAAAAAAAAAAGGAAAAAGAAAACAATTGCTGGGCTAAATAAAAAGACAGCGTAAAGAGGCATAGCCCGCCAACATGAACCTACATGCAAGCCCGGGAGCTTTAGGATTTCCTTCCCCGGGGAGGAGGCGACTAACGCACGCACACTGACCATCACCTTACGGAGGTAAAGAGAGAGTGAAATGGCTCAACGTACACACACCCCGCTCCATACCGGGGACGAGTCTCCGAGCTGCGGCTTGTGCTGTCGGAGGGCCAGGCTGAAGCTGACCGCCCCCACGGCCACGCTGGACACCCCCAGCCCTATCTCCAGCACGGAGAGCACCAAGAGGCTCCCAATAATCTGGCCGCTGGTGCACATCCTTCCTCGGTCATCATTCCTTCCAGCTCAGCGTGGGAAACCGACCATCCACCTTCTTTCTTCCACTACTCCCTCCCCCTTCCTCCCCCTACCAGACCCCAAAACTTTTCCTTCTTCACCAGCGGAGCACTATCCACAAGGACTGGATGTCCAGGACCGGAGACCCGCTTCCTTGACCGGGCCAGAGGCAAGACCGCCGCTCCACTCCCGGCCGTTCGGACAGGGATAGCAGAAGGAAGGATCCGATCCGTGGTCGGAGTCCAGGAGGGGAGAGGAAACAGGTCGCAGGGTTTTTCCAAAAAGGAGCCGCCGGGAGCTCCCAGTGCCGCTGGCTAGGCGCTGTCCAGAGTTCTGCCGCGTCCTGGTCTCCGCAGGGAAGCCTGCTCCCTCCTTCGCCTCCAGACGGCCGGGCTCCCCTTCCCTTTCTTGCCAAGGAGATGAGCTTTGCTTCCCGGAGATGCAGAGCCAAACTGCTCGGAGCCTCTCTCTCTCCCTTGCCCGCCCGCCCCTCTCCTCGCCTTTGTTTTCGCGGTAACACCAAGTGCTCCTGCCAGTCCCAGTCCCGGGTTCCCCAGGCTGAGCGGGCGGAGGAGATTCAGCACCACGTGCCTCGCAGTGGCTGTGCGGCCAGAAAAGGCGACCTTGTCTGATGGCCTTTCCCAGTCTGGGCTGCTTCTCCCTCCTCCTCGTCCTCTCCTTCCCCCTCGCTCTGGATCTGCTTCTCTCTCATCGCAGTGACCTCATTGGGAGTGAAGGGGTTGATGCAGGAGGGAAACGCTTGGTCTGTTGGTGGGTGTATAGAACCAATACTCTTGGCTGGCCCTAAATTGGTCTCGTTCTGGGACCCTAAACTCAGGGACAGGAGGGATCCCCACCTCCGCATCTCCCCCACTCGCTCCCTTCTGGGCTTCTATCCAGATGGGATGGGAGGGGATGCATACGTCAGTGGGGCTCCTTCAGTGTAAAACACTTCTACGCCTACGCTGATGGAGGGTAGAGTGGGGGTGCAGTGGGCAAAGAGAGAGCACAGGGGATGGAGAAAGGCCAGACCCCTAAATTCAGTAGGACTCAGGACCCTCACCATGGAGCTCCTCTCTCTGGGAGAACTAGACTCAAGGAGCGTCCACTCCCTGTCACCTTTCTTGTCTGGGGGTGAGGGACATACAATTGGCCCGGCCACACTTCGGTGGGGATGTGGCCCGCAGACCCTTGCTGTCCCTGTCCCCTGTGAGCACTGCTACCGCTTCTAGGATGCGTTCCCTGATGGAGCAGGGTGGGCACTCTGTGGGCTCACTGGAATTTGAGAGATGTGTACATTTAAGTACTAATTATATTGGAAAGGATGCTGCTAAAAACAGACATCTGGCTAAATGGCAGACAACTGTTTGTCTGCCCTCCTGAGAAGCATGTGGGCAGGGGCTCACCTGCACCTGGGTATTTGTGTGATGTAGTCTGATGCATAGGGGACTCTAGAAGCCTGCAAATCACTGGGTCAGGAACCTGTTTTCCTGTCTCTGATTTTACCCCATGTAAATCACATGGTATTTCATCAAGGAGACCTAGGACAATGGAGGAATGAGAAGGTGTTTTGGGGTGTGGATCATCTTTCTCAAAAAGTGGGTGCCCCAGTGGGAAATGGATTGAAGGAACATAGTAGAAAGGAGGATTGATTTAGACACATTAGCAAGACCAGGGTAACTTAACCTCTGAATACATGCAGACCAGTGCAGTGCGGGCACCTTTCTCTGGAGCTTCTTTTTAAAAGCCCCAGTGGCGAGAACACTAAAGCTGAGTTATATACCATCTATAGCAGAAGCAGCAGCTTCTGTTCTCTTCCATTGGAATGCATCGGGGCTTCTTTCATATTTTAATTCAATTTTACACTATAATTTACTTTTCTTATGTGATGCTTATATTCCACATTTAAAAAACTGAGTTTTCTTCCCTTACAAATAAAATAGAAAGGATGGAAGAATTATGTTACTAGGCCTGAAAGTGTCTTCCGTTATTGTGATATTTGGAGAACAACTAATACATTGATGTTGACTAATTAGTGGATTCACTTTTTACTTCTTAACAACTAATTCCACCAAGCAGTCAATTGTTAGAATCCTTCAAGTGGTTTGTGACTTTAATGAAGCATATATTATTTTATTTAAATCTTGTAGAAGTCATCTAAATGATCCAATTTATATGTGCAAATCATGAAGCATCTCACTACCTAACTTTGCTTTGTCTTAAGTCATTGCTGTTCTTCTTCTTCTTTTTCTGTCTTCCCCATTAGGAAGAGAATAACAAGATATACTTATTATTAAAATAGAACACAGACATACAGAAATAAATATAACATATAAAGAGAAATGAATTTTGTAGAAAACATAGAGGTAGTGTTAACAATAGATGAATTTCAGAGAGAAAGAAATGAGCAAATCATGTATTATGGCTGAATTTTTGTCTCTGAATGTGATAGAGGGAATATATTTACTTAAATACCCCAAAGTCTAGTCATATGCTTCAATATAATCAATCTTGATTGATCCTTTATTATTGGTACAAAATGTAAACCTTTTGAAAATCGAATGTACATGAAAGAAATTAAATTCATCTTCATGTATTACTTACTACCAATATGTGACACTAAAATGAAAATATTCATAGGGATAAAATAAAAAACTATCACCCACAGAAGAAAGTACTGTTTTGTGTTTAAAAACATGAGGGTCAATGTTGTTAAAACTTTCAAAAGAATATGACATTGCCTGCTCTGGGAGACAAAGTATATGTTGCATGGTCTCTTAAACGATGTAAAGATTCCCCCTCCCACGGTAAATGCAAAAGCAGCTAAATTTAGCTCTTAATGATGGAAATCACAGCAAAAATAGGTTCAAACTGGCATCATACATGTCTCAAAACTATCTATTAGAGAAAGAATTATAGGATAAAATAGTAACTCAAGAAAAAACTAAATAAGTACATTGCTATCCAAATACCAGTGGCTCTACAATGAGAGGTTTTAAGTTTTCTTATGCTAGGGCACACTGAAAGAGCTATTCTTGAGACTCATTGACACATTGTTTAATGCATCTTCAACAAGAGCAATAGTACAAAAAATCTCAAGTTTGCCACCTGCTGGCTTATATATGACACAATGAATACAAATGTGTGGATAACTTCAAAGTAATTCTTATTAAACATAGCAGTTAACCAGAATAAAATCCTTCACAATTTCTCTCTTCAAGGACCTAAATTCTGCCAATAAATATTTAAGAATTCTGAGATCCTTCTGTACCCACTTTACCCAAATAAAATTTATAGACATTTTAACATATGAATAAAGGAAAATCTAAGATTTGATAAACAAATACCACCTGTCTTAATATAGTGAAGTAAATTGGTGAAATAATTCAATCACTAATACAGGATTAGTGACTGAGAAGGTCAACATTTGAAACTGATTAATTCTGAAATCTGAATTAGTGTTCAAGCTATTATAAACTAAATTTTTATGGTGACCATAAGCACTGGACTGAATGACCAAAGTAGTATTGAAGATTAAGGAAAAGAAAAATCACAAAATTGTTGCAAACCATTTAGCTCTTTATAAGTACTATAAATATATTTAATATTGTAATACTACTAGAGGCCCAGTGCACAAAAATTTGTGCACTCGGGGAGGTCCTTAAGCCCGGCCTGTGCCCTCTCGCAGTCTGGGACCCCTCGGGGGATGACCACCTGCTGGCTTAGGCCCGCTCCCCAGGGGATTGGGCCTAAGCTGGCAGTCAGACATCCTTCTGGCAGCCCAGGAGCCCTTGGGGGACGTCCACTTGCCAGCGGGAAGCAGGCCTAAGCTGCAGTCGGACATCCTTAGTGCTGCTGAGGAGGCGGGAGAGGCTCCCACCACTACCGCTGTACTGGCAGCCATCAGCCTTGCTTGTGGCTGAGCAGAGGTCCCCCTGTGGGAGTGCACTGACCACCAGGGGGCAGCTCCTGCATTGTGGGTCTGCCCCTGGTGGTCAGTGTGTGTCATAGTGACCAGTCATTCCCAATCATTCTGCTATTAGGGTCAATTTGCATATTACCCTTTTATTATATAGGTGGGGTCTGGCTGGTTTGCCCTGAAGGGTGTCCCGGATCAGGTGGAGGTCCCGCTTGGGTGCCTGGCCAGCTTGGATGAGGGGCTGAGGGTTGTTTTCAGACTGGCCACACCCCCTTCAGGGAGAGGGTCCCCGCTGGGCTGCCTGGCCAGCCTCGGTGAGGGGCTGAGGGCCGTTTTAAGATTGGCCACACCCCCTTCAGAGAGCAGGATCCTGCTGGGGGGCCTGGCCGGCCTGGGTGAGGGGCTTATGGCTGTTTGCAGGCTGGCCTACCCCCCCAGCAGGAACCCTCACCCCATGAGGGTGTGGCCATCCTGGGTGAGGGGCTGATGGCTGTTTTCAGGCTGGCCACGGCCCCCAGCCACCCAAGCTCCCAGTGGAGGCTAGCTGGAAGCAAGTATCTCGGATTTATTTATCTTCTATAATTGAAACTTTGTTGCCTTGAGTGAAGGCTACAGTCGGTCAAGGCAGGCAGGAAGCTTGGCTTCCTCCATCGCTGGGGCAACCAAGCCTCCTGCTTGCTCCAGCTCCGTGGCTGCCAGCCTCCATCTTGGTTGGGTTAATTTGAATATAGTTGCTCTGATTGGCTGGTAGGCATGGCTTGGGGCGTAGCGAAGGTACGGTCAATTGGCATGTTTCTTTTTTATTAGATTAGACTAGTAGCCCTGTGTATGAATCCATGTGCCAGTAGGTCGCTGCTGCCCTCCTGTAGCTCTCCACCTGTTGCCCCGCCTCCTGTAGCTCCCTCAGCCCCCCTCCCCGCCATAGCTTGCTGCCCTGCCCACTCCTGTAGCTCTCTGCAGCCCACTTGTACCTCACTGGCCCACCCTCCTCCTGATCTGTGATCTGGTCATGACAAGCTTGGTCGTTAAGCCTCAGGGCGTAATGGCTAATTAGCATATTCCTCTCTTATTATATAGGATTGTCACTGTGGTTAAAAATGATTGTACCCGCCCTGACCGGTTTGGCTCAGTGGATAGAGCGTCGGCCTGCGGACTCGAGAGTCCCAGGTTCGATTCCAGTCAAGGGCATGTACCTTGGTTGCGGGCACATCCCCAGTATGGAGTGTGCAGGAGGCAGCTGATCGATGTTTCTCTCTCATCGATGTTTCTGACTCTCTATCCCTCTCCCTTCCTCTCTGTAAACATCAATAAAATATATTTAAAAAAAAAATGATTGTACCCAAAGACTTATCTATGCTTTAATAAAGTGATTCAACCAAAAAGGGGAAAAAAAGAAAACAAAATATTGAGGATTTTTTTTCTTAATTAAAGATCAAGAAGCTGAGATAACAAAATCTGAATTTAGCTTCTGCCTTTTTTGTCTTGTAGTAATAATGTAGTTTAGAAGTTATTATCTAATAATAATATCAGTACTTATGAAAATAAGAGAAAGTAGAGTACTTGGTATTATAATTTTCCATTTATGTCTAAATATCTATTTTTATTATTAATAAATTTTAAACATGGAGAAAACTCAAATAATTTTAAAATTATTTCTCTTATTTAATGAAGACTGTGGATATTTCTACTCCTGGCCATTCTGGAGTAATTGGGATTGGATTTACTCTCCTACTATATACAACTAGAGGCCCGGTGCACAAAAATTTGTGCACAGGGGGGTGTCCCTCACCCCGACCTGTGCCCTCTCACAATCTGGGATCCCTTGGGAGATAA